ACGATGATGATGATGATGGAGGGCCCCAGGACAGAATTAAACAGAGGATGAAAAGCTTCTTGATGAACACATGGCAATGATCATGATGAAGTTAATAGAAATATGATCAATGATGCGGACAATGTTAATGGAGGGGGATTTAATACCTTGTTTTACTTGTTAAGCGGTCAGTTCATCCAAATATAAAACACAAACAATATATTGTCCCACTTCCCTCTTCCCTAGCCACGCAGAGAGCTTTGTTTTTGTTTTTGTCAACAATTTTTTGGTGGTACTCACAAGTCGAAATTCAACAGCCGCATCTCGTGTTCAAGAAACAGTGTCGCCGTGTCACTCAACAGAAGTCTCAGTGGCAGACATCTTAAAACCTCGACAAATAAAATCCAAACCATCTGCATGGACACATAGATTCCACAAAATGCAAACGAGAAATTGTTTTTTAGTTTTGGGTATTTGGTTGAACTCGATTTCTTGGCTTATGTTGTTAGCATTTGGACTACAGTGAAGCACTCAGATGATGACGATGGTGATGTAGAGGCTGATTGTAATGCTAATAATTGCGGCATGGCAAGCAGAACACTGAAGTAGCGCTTGCATTAGCTGATTGCATTAGCTGTTTCATTCTCACAATCACAGCCTCATTCATCAGCTGTTTGGATACCAGCTGGCTAGTCAATGTCCAATCATTTTCAAGCAGGTGTACAACGCATGCCTTTTTATCGCTCTGCAGACACGCTCACGCCAGCATGCCTCAGGCCCCTCCATCACCACCCACATAACTCACATTCATGATGAGGATGATAATGATAATAGGGATGATCATTTTGAGATCGATGAAGATGATGATACGCTTTCTGCAATAATGATGACGAGTTGAAGAAGACAAATCAAGGCGGTAATTTGTTTTTTAATAAAAACAGGTCCATGTGAGAGTTATTTCGAGGAGTCAAATGTTTGTCTGACAGGTTTATTTCTCACCTCCACCGGTTTGGTATTTCGGGGGATTTGACATGAGCGTGACTGCAGCGAAGTGAGAGGAGGCGGTGTGTTTTCTTCTGTGCTATTTCTAAAGCCTTTAGTCAGAGCTGAAATATCAGATCGCTATATAAGACTAGGTAATGTCTGGGATAATATCCTGACATAGCTTAAATGTTGGTCTTTTTCCGGGCGCATGACACATAACTCAGCATGATACCGTTCTTTAACCCTATTAGACTGTAACATCTGAGTGAATGAAACAGCAAATATTTCCACCTGTTTGGCTATAGACTAATCTCCTTTTTTTGGTGACGGGCTCTCTTGTGACACCAACACTATAGCAAAATTTCACTATGTGAATCAAACTAACAATGTAGCACTTTTGTCTAACTGCTACTAGAGGGTTGTTATATTGCTGTGCAGTAAATAAGACTTGGCCAGCATTACAGAGAAATCGCTAGCTGATGGTTATAAATAAACAAACTTGTAATCAATGCTTTTATGCATGCTCTAGATCACATATAGCCTTTGCTACAATATCATTTTGACAAATCTCTACACACACTGTGTTAAACAGGATCTCTGGTGAAAGCACTGAGAAACTGAAGTCAGTATAGAGTGGCATGCCACTGCAGTAATGCTGGCGTGTCTTTCTGAATTACATAACGAATGAAACAAAGACGAAGAATACCATTACTAATATCTAAAGCAGGGGGAATAGAAAAACGACTGGCAGGCTAAATTTAATGGAGGCCATTTTGTGTGTAAATAATCCTTGCAAGACAGCAGTAGCTCATTTCCAACAAGCGACATGGAAAGCTGAAAGGCAACCATAGCAACCATTTATCTCAGTATAATATTACTGAAGGCATAAGGGTCCAAATTAGTTACAACGCTTCAATTCAAGCTTGCATTTAGCTAATTTCCCGCTGAATTATCATCCCAATTTATTCTACAAATGGCATTCCAATTTGTCTCTCTTTTTAGGGGATTCATTTGGGGGCTTTGAAGCAGGCCCTATTCGTTGCGGATATGCATCTCCAAGAACACAGATGCTGCGTTGTTTGCCTCGCCGAGAGCCTCAAACCCCCCACAGATGTGCTCATTTCCCCAGGCAAAGGGGAAATGGCATGCCTCTGTGCAGACTTTGGACATATTCCCCACTAATGATATAGAAATACACCACTAAACAATTCTACTGGGGATAGATCTTGTCTCATTTGGCAAAAACTGTGTTTATAGTGTACAGCTCTATGACTCAAACTGTGTCCGTAGATCACATTCAAGTTCAAAGTGGTAATTAGGTTAGAATAACATCCCCATATGTGATCTATAGAATAATCTCACAAAGGCGTTAACGAATGTGCAAAATGTGAGCACACATGCTCATAACAGCACAGCAGTGAGCTAATTTGAAAGAATAACCGCGTCTAATGCACCTCATCTGCCATTGATTGTGGTATCTCCGTTTGTCCGTTGCAATTATTTAGTTGGAGCACCGTGGAGAGCCGCTGATCACAACCTTGCACTGGGACACGCTGCCAGCAGAATAATAATAAAGAGCAGGAAGAAAATTGAGGCCAGCCTCTCCAGTCTCAGGTCTCTCATTGGACATGAGTCAGACAGCAGAATGTGTATCATTTTTGTGAAACCTAAATTAAATGTGAGTAGATGAGAGCAGACTCCCGGTACTCTAAGGGCTTTGTTTCAGTGCGAACGAAGGAAGGAGGAGAATTTAATATGGCTGAAAGTTGCATTTGTGTTGGCTGTCTCGATTGTCTGTATGAGAGGGGCTTAGAAGAAGCTAGGCCAAACTGAACCACTAGAGTGAGCTCTGGGGATAAGATGAAGGATTAAGGCAAAAAGGGAGAACGGGGGGGGGGGGGGGAGGGGACGAAAAGAGGGGAAGGGGGAGGGGGGGGGGGGGGGGGGGGGGGGGGGGGGAAGGTTCGAAAGAACGAGAGAGTCTACGCCGCATGGAGAAGGAGTTGAGCGAGAAATGAAGATGAAGTGAGGCAGAGAGAAAAAGGGAAACTGTCTCGGACGTGTTGAGACAGAGGATGAATGTTTGAGGCTATAGCCTTTAAAAACTCCAATAAAGCCAACTGGCTCCCGGCCGCATTGGAAAATGGAAAAAAAAAATACAGGCGGCTTTGAGTGGTGAGTCCGGGGGCCAGTGGAGCGAGGCGGGGCCCGGCGAGGCCGAGCAGCGGGGCAGCCTTCCTTTGTGAGCTAGAACTCATTTACTATGGTTAAAGCAGGGGGAGCCACACTTAGCTGGGCCAAAACAGAACTGCAGCTTTTATCTGCAGTCTACATGACTTCAATGCATCATGTGCTTGTAATAAAACACTGGGCATTCACAATATGCAGTTATTCATTTTAATGCTATAGGATACGAATACAGGCAAGCTTTCTGGTGTGCCTTTCCCTTTCGCCAGCTCTGTGCATGGTTTATGGACAGCTCAAATCTTCGGCTTGAAGCAGCATGATGTGGAGTTGTAGAGGAAATGAGCCTGCTTGGCAATGATGTGAGTAAGAACATGCTTCGCTCACAGTAAGCATCAATCCTATGTGCAATAATGACTGAAGAACCCTGCTGTGGCCTCCCTGGCCGCTCTCCTCCACCTTTTGTAATAACATCTTTTCTCAAAGTCAGGCAGCGACCGGAAATGCATCTGTTAGTGAGCTGTTGTAGTTGTTCAACCTCAAAGATGAAGATGTTTCCAATGCTTCCCAACCTCTTTGGAACATTCTTCAGGCAAATAATACCTTGTTTTCTGAGAGGGGAATTAGCCTAGTTTAGCATGAAGATTGGAGGTAGGGGGAAACATTGCTTGGTTGGGTCTATCAAAAGTGATACAAACGTCTAAAGCTCACTAATTAACATGCTGTTTGTTTAACCCGTCAGGCTGTTCTCATACGCCGTCTATACCTGTACCAACGAAAAAGTAATGAACCATACTTTTGTTTATAACCCACATAATCACTTTGAGCCAGGACAGGTGACGTAGTATAAAGTGACACAGTCTGTGTCGTGGATGGATGGCTCTAGAAACGATGGACTTTTCTACGGCTGTAACCGATTACCGAGAAACCATCACTCTAGGAACTCAAGAAAGCCTGAAAGAGAAAACATAATTGTGGATCTTCTCCTACTATTCCTTTAAACTAGAATTCACATTTGCTTGTGTCTTCTTGTGACCCAATGTCAGAGGCTTGAAAAAGATACAACTATCCAGTGCTGGACAAGAAAACAAGCAACACATTTAATTAATTGTGTGTAGCATAAACATCTTTCTGCTTTCCTATCCTATTAATCATCTCACTATCGCTCACGTTTATCCTTCAGTTCCTTGGGGGGTCCCAACGCATCTGGCTGGGAAACACTGTTTTGCGCCAGAAACATGTCAGGGATCTGCTCTTAAATTGTTTTGCCATGTTGAGAAACCACTCCCTGAAGAGGGAAAAACTGTGCATTATCTGGGCACAGCACTATCCAGGCCAAAAGCGTCCCCTAAGGGTAAAATCAATGTTTGAATATATTTAGCAAATGTGTATTCTACCTATCCCACGTTTCTGATAAATGAGAAGTGTTGGAAAGTTAGCGAGTGAAAACAGAAGCGAGTTATTTCTCTGCCGGAGCCAAATATTTCTTTCACGCTCTTGTCTTCTTGGCAACAGGGCCCTCTCGCTGTGATCTGCAAATATAGAGCGGGTCAGGCTTCATCAGAGGAACTGACATCACTGGTGCTGAGCGGTGCAGACAGACTGAAAAGAAAAGGGGGCTCTGTGTATGACAGCGAACATCCACAGAGAGGGCGTGAGTCATTGGCTTTGGCTGGATAAGAACCCGTGTCCGTTGAGAGATGGGGCTCACCTCGCCGTTACCCATAAATCCCGAATGCTCTCATTATTAAGTGAATTCATCTTGTCAGGGGCCGGGATGTGGCTCAATTTCCGCTCCAGATTGCCATCCTGCTTTATTGAGTGGTCTCTGTCCTCAGTCGGAGGGAGGAGACGCCCTTGCCAAAACGAAGCTGGCGCGTGATGACGGCCCGCCATTGACATCTTTACAGCTTCATCCTCCGCTGACTTTTCATACGCTTCCGCCTCACACTCTCACATTGTGCTGAGTCACGGTGGTCCAGCACCAGGGATTTGTTTTACTATGGGAAACCGGATGGGTAACTGTGTTTGTTTGTTTGTCCATTTATCATGTCAAGCAGTGGCTCTGTTGTTTTTTTCGTCATTGAAATCACAATGTCGGTCGACGTACTTTGATCATTTTAACATCATGCTGTTCAGAGCTTTCCCTGCTAGTGCACCATAATCAAAGTCCAGACACACAAGCATACCCCTCGCTATCTGTGTGTATCTTTGGGTGGCTTGTCATTATTCTGCTTTGCATCCTCTTTAACATAGATATCAGTGGGAGAGGGGCCCTGTCTACAATCCTGTTGGGGGAGCAGACTGAAGCCAGCATGGCCATCATTGCATCCGTGCTTGTCACTCTGGGTGTGTTATCATTAACGGAAGGCAGATAGCGGGGAGGAACGAAACACAAAGTCACTCGGCTGCTGATTTGGCAGCTGTCTCTCTCTCTCTCTCTCTCTCTCTCTCTCTGTCTGTCTGAAACTATTAGGTGTGTTTGTCTTCAGTGTCGTGGAGTTCAGTGTGTTCTCAGGCTGCTGAATGGTCTTTGTGATAACACGCATTCGTTGGTGAGTGGGTTTATCCTTGGGTCTGTGTACTCTGCTAGAAGAAAATCAAATGCAGTTTAGCTGATTTTCTGTTTGTTTGGGCTCAGCTGGCCATTGGGATAACTAATTTGGTGGGATGAATGCTGTGTCCAGGTTTAAAGTAATGGATTGTGCTCTAGTATATAGTATATCATAATGTTAAAGAATGAGTAAAAACATGGGGTTTTCATAATACTGTAGAGGCGGATGGTACCTTTAAATGACCCCTAGCGAGGTTTTCTTGTGAACAATCACAATAGTATATATTTAGTGTTTCTCATCAAAATGCATTGTGTGAAGCAGTGAATGCATTTCTTTTTCATCATTACACATTTGCACAGCAAATTTGTTGACTATTATGAAATATGCACTGTATACATCCAACAACCCGGTCTCACTCCCAACTCTTCAAATATTGACAGATGGTCGCTGCTACTCGGCGTCTGAATCCGACGGTACTCTCCAAGGGTCACTGTTTGGTCAAACACAAGACTCACAGCTGCTACAACGTGTGCACAGCGTCACTGACGCAGTAAGCAAATGCAAAGCAGACTTTTAAGGACTCTTTCACTCCTTTAGTTCGGTTCATTTGGTCCGAAACCCAGGGGGAAAAAAATGGCACTTTGCAGCATTTTAGCTCTATTTCGGTTCATGTTGACTTTTTAAAAAATGGACATGAAGTTATAACAACTGACAGATGACTGGCAGATTGACAGTTGTGGTGATGTCTTCCTGCATCATCATCATTCTTTCTATGCTACTACAGAATGCTTCAAATACTGAAGAAGTAAGTCAAAATCACTCTTTAATTCTTCCACACCTTCTTAACTAAACACAGAGCGTTTTGAAGTTCTTGAATATAAATACTCCTCTCTGTCTGCTTTGGATTCTGCTCATAAAGTCTACAGCCTGCACAGGCATGCACTAAAAGCTGATACCTGCCACACACAGTGCACGCAATATAAAAAATATCTCTCCAAGCATTCACTGCCGGTGCACCTCCCATTTACAGCAGGAGATCTCCCAGATAACCCACTATCGCACAAATTAGAATAGTCACTCAGCCAGCTCCCCTTCAGCACATTCTTTAACGCCTGCAGAGTTGTGACAGTCGCAAACTAGCAGGATTCAATTTAAAATCTCCACTTGACATGTAAGTATGAGATGGCGCTTTAGCACAATCTTTCTCACGGGGGTGACAAGGGTTTTCCAATAAGGTAAGACTCCCGTGCTGAGCACAGTTCCTGATTTGGCAACTCACTCCCAACTTATCAAATATGGACACTTGGTCAGTGCCCCTCGGTGGGTGATACCGACGCACCGAGGAACCCTTAAGCGTCTGTATGAGATGCACCAGGCTTTAACAAACTCCAATATAAACCCATCCTCATCATTGTAAGATGGTCAAAGCAACTGACGACAAAGATACAGAGCGACAAAGTCTGCTCAGGGTGGGTGGGAGAGGAGGTTCGGTCTTCGTGTCCCGTATGAAACCAAGTCAACGGTGAGTTATTTTACCGTAGTGTTGTTGCATAACTTACTAATGAAAGTTAAAACAGAATAGAATCTATCTTTATTGTCATTGTGCTTCAAACAATGACAATCTGTTAAACATGTTACGTAACAAACGTACTTATTTTAACCACCAAAATCTTATCCTAAACCTGTCCAAGTAGTTTTAGTGCTTAAGTAAACCCGTGTAGGAAGTTTATTTTGAGAAATTATGCATATAATGAGTGGAAACTGACACGCCGTCCCTGACACGTCCAAAACTGATGCTAGAGGGGTAGCTAAAGCGCCATAGTGTGATGCGTAGGGTCACTGACCATGATGTGGTATTTGATGAGCTGGCAGTGAGAATATGTTGGATTTGGACCTTGCAATTTCGTTTTACAATGAATTCCAAATGGGTGACATTTTATTTTCCTTGAGTCTACCAATGAATTTCATAGATGCCCAGTTTACTTCCTCATTACGTCTAAATGTTAGCCACTGCCACAGATGGAGGAGCAAGAGTCATTGAATCATCTTGTGACAGTAAACAAGTTACTGCCATCAACCATGAAGAGGTATACAGGTGGAACTATTTGAGAGCAGATGTCAGCTTCGCTGTCAACGGAGAGCTCTTGAAATCGCATATCATAAACCTTGAACTCTCTCACCTCAGTTCAGAATACTGAAAGCTGCTGGCCTCGAAGGTATTGTGGAGCAGTGCTACACTGTCATTTGTCTATATTTACTCTGCCGTGCAAAAACAGCTTTTAAGAGAAATAAAGGTGTGAGTGACACAGCGGAGATGACATTAGAAATGCTGGGACATGTGGATTGAAAATGAGCAGACGCTGGAAACTCGCCACAAGTCAGTAAAATTAATGAACCCTCATGAATGAGTGGTGAAATGTTTGACAGGCTACGCGGCAAGTGGGTACTTTTCACTCAATTACTGTAATACATGAGGGGTAAGAGAATTTCGATTGCTTCCAATTAAGGCTGCAGCTAACACTATCAACCAATATAATACTCACCATTTTTTATAATTTAGTAAGCAAGTTGACAGTGACGTGACTGTCAGCATCTTTACAAATGCCCATTACTATCCCACTGAGCTCAAGGTGTGTGTCTTCTAATTGCTTGTTTTCTTCGACCAGCAGTCCAAATGCTTCAATTATAGAAAACTTTTAGAATTTGCTGCTTTTCTTATGTTATATGAGAATAAACTAAATGTATTTTTGGTTTTGGACTGTTGGGCAGACGAAACATGTAATTTAAAGATGTTATCTTGGAGCATTTTTCAATTTTTGGGGGGAATATTCTGGACAAAACTGTAATGTTAGTCCAAGCGTGTGCAGTAGTCAAGTGACGTTCTACTTATTGCCACGTTACCTATGTCTTTGCACCTCAGCAATCCTGCAATCTTCGTATCACATGTACAGTATATATTGTAAGTATGGCATCATGATATATTGCTACCTTATTCAAAGGACGACGTTAACGGCGATGGTGATGGTGTTAACGGGGAGCAGTGAGAGGGGACGAACGTAAAGGCACGCTCACAGAGGAATGCTGAAGACTGCAGTGAGAGCTATGTTGAGGCTTCAGTGACACCTGCTGGAGGCATGAAACGCACTTGAGGGAGAGAGAGAGAGAGAGAGAGAGAGAGAGAGAGAGAGAGAGAGAGAG